GGCTGTGCAAGCAATGCCACCTGGCTGTTGGAGTCTTCCCATTTCGGATTATGTTGCCGAAATTCCGCAAAAGCCTGCCGTGCGTGTGAGACGAGACAGCACAGTCCCTGCCGCCGAATCCCCGCCCCCAGCTGTACCTGGGTTGTCGTCCACTCAGCCCGCTGACGACTCCTCTCCCGCATCTATCTCTCCGCGGCCTTGTGGGCGCTACCGACAGGCCGTTTAGCCATTTGGTCATTCCAAGATGAAACAGCCCCCACCGCCCGATGAAGAAGCTGCCGACGTCGACGATGTTGACGACGCCCCAAACAAGTTGTCGACCAAGTCAGCCACTCCCGAGGAGCAGTATGCGGAGGCTCGCAGCAGGTTTAAGACCCGGTGGTCGACGCGATTCCCGTGGCTTGTCATTTTAAAGACTGACTCTGGCGTGCGTGCCTTTAAGTGCACCCTGTGCTTAGAGCACGCAGGTCTCTCTAGGAAGGCCGGCAAGTGTGGCCCAGGCCTATGTGATGCTAAGACTCGGGCGTTCACACGACACGCGGGGTCCGGCAAGCACCAACTCGCTCTGCAGAAGCAGAATGATCTGCTGCAACAGGCGACCAGACAACAACGCATCGATCTACATCCCCTTGCCGGGGACCTTGAGAGGGAGCACGTCACTGCCCTGCTGGATGCCTTGTGGTTTTATTGCAAGACTAACGAGCTGGCCGAGACGTGGATCCAGCTTTTTTGGTACGTGGCATCGCGGAAGGTACCGGGTTTCCTGCAGCAGACCTACGGCACCTACTACAGCACGTGAGTATACAATCATTACCGTTTAGCTATGGACTTCATTCTAGTTATGCCCTCTTTGTTGTCTGATTCTACAGACCATGTGGTTAGTGCGTGTCTCTTAGGTTGTATGTCGGACATACAGTGTCTGTTGGTCTACGTGAACTGTGTAGGTACGGATTTGGCAAATTCAGACTGGCAACGGCAACCTGGCTTCAAACAACGCAACTTCAGCACCTGCTGTCAAGTCCATACATCGGCCTCATGCTAGGCGAGAGCACCGACCACTGCCGAGGGAAGCACTTGATCGTCTACGCCCATTTCATCCGCGACAACCGGCTGGTGTGTGAGTACCTGGCCTTGCTGACGGTGGACAAAGCCGATGCATCTTCATTGCTCTCCCTACTACTTACCCACCTGAACGCCATTGGGGTGGATCTCCAGCGAGTCTCCCGCATCAGCACTGATGGGGCGGCTGTCATGATGGGGTCAAAGAGGGGCCTTGTTACTCGATTGCGACAGCAAGTGCCTCACCTCCGGACCGTGGCACCAGCGCTTTCTCGACTTTCTCATCACCAGCCTGTTCCTGAGCCGCTACGTCGACTGCGGGGACGAGTTCGGGGGCGGCCCGAAGGACCATCTCACCAACTTCCTCATCCTTCACGGCCCCAGTAGTTCTCGCAAGGTCACCGTTAGTGGCGTGGACTCCGACGTGAGTCTCACGAGCTTCACATTCAAGCTTCACGTTGACATGCTGCAAGGGTACCCCGGGGGAGGGAAGCATGACAACTGCGTGGTAGATTGCATGGACCTGGCGGAAAGGATGGTGAATAACATGAACGAGCGCCTTGGGGATCTTTGCAAGATGGCGAGGGTGAAGCTGTTCTGCATTTCCGCCAGGCCGAAGGACTCGGATCGGCAGGCAAGGAGGGTGCAATGCTGGGACTGGTTCCACTCTCTAGTGGGGCCGTACGACGCGGAGCAGAGGAACGAGATCCTTCCAGCTGAACACCTTACTAGTAGACCCACCGTCATGTACCATTGTATTATTGAGATAGTTGCACATGTATTTGTCAACTTATACATACATTGCATGTAGAAGTTACAAGCTAGTATCGGTGTGTGCTCCTAGTGAGTACAACCCAACTGCTATATGTTCCCTGTTCTCTCTCTAGTAAAATCATTCCAGTATTCTAACATGGTATCACGAGTAGGTTAGGTCCACCCACCCGCTTCCGCCTGCACCCTAGCCTATCGCGCCCTAGCTTCCTCCCCTTTGCTGGCCCCCAGCGCACCCCTCGAGCCTCAGCCGCAGCAGCAGCAGCCCCAATCGTGGGCCCGCCTCCCCCCCAGGTGGCCAGGCACATCCGGAGGTGGTGGCCGCGATGGCGGACCTCGCAACTCGGCGTCTACCGGCAGCTTTGGTGCTGTGATCTGCTAGTACCAGCTCCAGACCAGGCCCCTCCGTGGCACAGTGTGCCGCCGCCCGCAGCCAACCGCCCGCTGCTTTTGCCGCCTCGACGACCTCTTTCATCGCCGCTTCCGCCCAGCCCCAGACCTCCCTGACTGGTCCAGTCTGCTGCGCCACGGTGTGCCTGTGTTTGACTTAGATATGGATCAGATTGGTTCTGCCTTGCATACTTTGTATGCTGACGCTTCTAGTGTGTCTGGATCTTATTACCCTATGTTCCAAAGTGTAGGTGTAGCGCCCTTGTATAGTATTGACTCCCCTGCTGCGTCCACCCTAGGCTCTGCACCGGCTCCTCCTTCGTCCTCTGCTACTGCTTCGCTGTCCTTCACACTCGACTCCAAAGCGTCTGCCCGCTTCTTCCGCGACCGCTCTACGCTGACGCCGCTTGCTGTGCCTGCTGCTGTCGAGCTTGCCGACCCCTCTGCTGGTCCTGTTGTCGCTCGTAGCTCCACCTCCCTTCCCTGTCCAGCGGTCCCCTCGGGTTCTCTTTCCGGCCTCCACGTTCCCTCGTTCTCCAGGAACTTAGTTGGTGTCGGCTGTCTTCAGGACCTCGGCGTCACCACTACGTTCCCTGGTCATGAGCGGTACACTGTCTGTACCGAGGCTGCCTCAGGTTCCCCCCTCGCTACGTTTCCCCAAGACCCGGTGTCTGGCCTGTTTACCCTAGACACCACTTCCCCCCCGGGTGGAGCGGCCTCCGAAGTCGCCGCGGCTTGCTCGTGCCGGTCGCTCACTCAACCGTTCCTTTTGTGGCACCACCGCCTAGGTCACCCTGCGCTCCCCCGTCTGCATCACATGTCCCAGAAAGGTCTTGTCTTACGCCTCCCTGCGTCGCTCCCCGCCCTACCCCCCTCGCCTGCACCCCCGTGCACGCCTTGCGTTGAGGGCCGGCTACGCCATGCTCCTCACTCCTCCTCGCTCCGCCCTGCCACGGCTCCCCTTCAGACCCTGCACCTGGACGTCTGGGGTCCAGCCACCGTCCACAGACCGCGTCGCGAGCGCTACTTTCTTGTGCTCATCGACGACTACACGCGTTACACCACGGTGTTTCCCCTGGAGCGGAAGGCCGACATGCCTGATGTTCTTATCCCGTGGCTTGTGGCTGCGCGTCTCCACTGTGGTCTCCTTGTATTGTGTCTCCACTCTGACCGTGGGGGCTAGTTTGCCTTTGGTCGGCTTGGCCTGTTCTGTCGTGCGGAGGGCATCACCCAGTCGTAGACTGTGCCGGACTCACCGCAGCACAATGGGGTTGCTCAGCGCCCCATCGGTTTGGTCATGACGGTAGCCTGTACCTCCATGCTCCATGCCGATGCACCCCATATTCTGTGGCCGTTCGCTGTTCGCTACACTGCTCACCAGCTTAACTTGTGGCCACGCTCCCAGCGGCCGCAGGTTTCGCCGACCCTTCTTTGGACTGGGTCTCCTGGTGATGCGTCTGCGTTCCACGTCTACGGCTGCCTCGCTCACGTTCGTGCCTTCGGCATGGACAAGCTCACTGCCCGCACCTTCCCCTATGCCTTCCTCGTTTCTCCTCTTGACTCGTTTGACTAGCACTTTTACCCCTCCCCCGGTAGCCCCCGCGTCCCTCCCTCCTTGTCCTGCTCCGTCTGGTGTGTCTCATGTCACTCTTCTTCCGTCGGTTTTCCCCGTTTAGGAGTCTGCTGACTCTGGTAGCCCAGCTGCATAGTCCTCGGCGCTTGTTTCAAACCTGGTGTCTCCTCCTCCGCAGTCGCAGCCACTACCCCCGCAGCTGTCGTCGCCGCCGCCGCAGCAGCAGCTGTCGCTAGTGGACCCTGGGGGTGCTGGTCTTGAGGAGGGTGCTCGTCCTGGAGTTACTGTCGCGGCTTGTCCTGGCGGGTCTAGGGGTGGCCCTAGTGCTGGAGGGAGTTATGTGATGTCATCATATGCTATCACATTCTGTCTGCCTCCCATCCCATGTTTTCAACCCACATGTATGGTTTTGACTGTGTGAAAGAATTTGTGTGTGGTGTGTTCTGGAGTTTGGAAATATGTCCTGTGTTATTTTTGTTTGAGCAGGTATTTGTGATGATAGATCTTGAGAAGATCTTTCCGACGCAACAAGAATCGCTTCAATCGGAGCAAGAACGCGAAAGCTATGAAGATTCAAAGTTCATGAGCTTGCGTTACAATTGCGGCGGTTACAAAGTGAAGTTGTGGGGTGACTCTATATGGAGTTGGGACCTTTGGGGTTGGGGAAATTAGTCACTCTACTGTAACAGCTGCAAATTGGTTGGGAACAACCAAGCTAGGTTGGCAAGGGTGGCCAACTTGGATGGATTGGTTGGGAAGGGACAAATGTCAAAGTTGGGGTTCCTATAGGGAGGGAATCTTTGTGCTTATGAGGTTTCCTTGGTTGGGGACTCTCTTGAGACCTTCCCTCTCATCCCTCTCTTCCCATCCCAACCTTTCCCTTGCTCCTCTAATTCCTTGTGAGATTCTTGAACTTTGATTGAACTTTTGAGATTGAGTTAAGTTCTCCTCCTACAGCTTACCCCCCAGTGCGTCGAAAAACATAGCGTCACGAATGCTCCATTAATTGACGTGATTCAAATTGAGAACGGTAGCTAAGATTACAAGCTACAACATTTCCGAGTTTCGCAACATTCCAACGGCTATTTTTTCCTCGACGTCGTTTCTTGTGAAGACAACTTTTCTGTCCAGAATTTCCGATTTATATTTTGAGTAATTCTAGCTCCTAAACACACCTAGACTCCGTCCTTAATCCTAACAAGTGGTATCAGAGCCATATTGAGGACATTGAGAGGAGTCTACAGAAGTGTGAAGACCCTTCTAGACCCACCATGGCCTGTGGGTGTGCCTAAGTGGTGTTCTAAAGGTTGGATGTGTCTTCCGCTAAGGGGAAACTCTGCCGAAATTTCGTGGACACCGACATTTGTGAAAATATCGAGGGAGCTGAGTGTGGACAGCAAAGGGGAGCTGAAATTCGTCAATTCTCAAAGAGAAGATGAATGAGAGGGGAGGAGATGCTAATGGAAGAGGAGCTGTACCTGAGAAAACAAATGAGCCGCCGCCATCAAAAGTTGAAGCTTTGGATGGCTCCAACTATGAGGAATGGAGCGGGCGGATGAGGAGTGCCTTCAAACGCTACAAGCTACTGAAGATTGCTGTTGGGGAGGAGAAGATGCCAGAAGAAGGCGAAGCACGTGAACGGTGGATTGAGAAAAGCGCGGTGCTTTTCGACCTCATCCTTCAATCGGTCAACAAAGAGATGTTCGAGCACATCAAGGATCTTGTGGAAGCGGATGATTCGGGTCCAAGGGCGTGGAAATTACTACGCGATGTGATTCAGCCCAACACTCTCCCGATGGTGATCGTGCTCGAGAAGGAACTTGCTGCCATCTCCATGCGACCAGGGGACGATGTGAAGCCGGTCCTTGACAAGATCAAGGACACCTATGCAAGGATAGCAGCAGCCGGCAGCAGTGTATCTCAGCTGCAGCAGTGCACCAAGATCATCTCGGTGTTGGACAACTCTTGGGACAACCTCATCCCCACCCTCAACTCTCAGCAAGATCAATGGATACCTGGGTGGCTAAGACAGCACATTCTGCAGGAGGACTTCCGCAGACGACATGTGGGAGGTGGTGCTTCCACTAAGACTGCAAAGGGGTATGGAGCTACAGGGCGCGGCAGAGGAAGAGGGGGTTGGAGAGGCCGAGGCCGTGGGAGGAGCTTTGGCAGAGGTAGAGGCCGAGGTGACTATAATGAGGGGCATGGGAGCGCCGGTCGTAGGGGGAGTACCAGAATGGAGGGCACCTGCTGGTACTGCAAGAAGGTCGGGCATCCTTGGTTCAAGTGCTTCAGCAGGCCGGAGGGATGGGCACCTCCAGGCATGAAGCCGCCAAGTGGTGAACGCGCGCAAGGTGGCGCTGTGCAAGGCTCAGGTGCACAAGGTGAAGGTGCACAAGGTAACGCCTATCCTGGGATGTTTCTCATGGTTGAGGATGTGCATGGGCATGAGGGTGATGTGGGAAAGGTTGTGATGCACCCTCTCACGCACTCGGTGATTGATTCAGGTTGCACTAGTCACATGACCCCACGGACAGATTTGCTTGATGAGGTAAAACCCCCTGGGAAGATTAAGTATGTGGCAGCAGCGTCAGGGGCTTTGCTCCCTGTCATTGGTGTTGGAAATGCCAAGGTTAAGGGAGCTAATGGGGAGCTTGTGGGGCTTGGGAATGTTCCGCTGGTTGAAGGTTTGTCTGCTAACCTTCTATCTGTGCAGCGACTGCAGAAGAGCAAGGCCGAAGTGACCTTTGGACCAACCAGCCGCCGTGCTAAGCTTGGGAAGAAGGTGCTGTGGAGTCTGGAAGAGGAGACCAGCTGCATCAAGGACCTGTGGCAGCTGCCCATCATCCCTTGGACTGGGAAGACTCCAAGAGCAGCAACGGCAGCAGCGGCAAAGGCAACAGCAGGAGGAGATGCAACTACACCAACTGATGGGGTCCTGGAAGCAGTTAAGAAAGTGCAGCAGCAGCAGACACATGGTGAGGTGCTTGCTGGTGTGGATGCGAGTGCGGCATGGGCTAAGGCTTCATCAAGGAGTGGTGAGGCCGATTGGGAGACATGGCATGAGAGGCTGTGTCATGTGAACTTCCATATGCTGCAGAAGTTGGTGAAGGATGGGAGCCTAAAAGGATTGGAGGTCAAAGGGGGAGTGAAGGAGATTGGGAGCTGCCCTATATGCTTGGAGACCAAGTTCTCCAAGTTCCCCTTCAACAGCACTACAGGACCAGCCAAGACCCCACTTGCACTTGTGCACATGGATGTGGTGGGGCCCACAAGAGCCCCTTCCCTCTCAGGCAGCCGCTATGTCTTGACAATTGTGGATGACCACACTCGAGCAGTGTGGGTTTACCCTTTGAAGAGCAAGGGGGAGGTGGCAGCGGATGTCCTTAAGGAGTGGATGCCTAGAGCTCAGAGGGAATGCGGACACAAGGTGAAGGTGATCCGCACTGATAACGGTGGGGAGTTCATTGGAGCTGATTTTGAGGGGGAGTTGAAGAGGAAGGGGATCCAACATCAACTAACAGTGCCCTACAACCCGCAGCAGAATGGCGTGGTTGAGAGGTTCAACAGGACCCTGCAGGAGGGGGCACACACTCTCCTTGGGCGTGCAGGGCTGCCTGATCCGTTTTGGGTGTCTGCACTGAGGCAGGTCGCCCTTGTGAAGAACAGGTTGCTAGCTACAGTTGGGGATAAGGAGTGGATCCCATATGTCAAGTGGTATGGGAGTGCTCCAGCTGTGAACATGCTGAGGGCATTTGGGTGCATGGTGGTGTTTCATGTGCCCAAGGAGAAAAGGGGGAAGTTGGAGGCTTCTGGAAGATGGGGTGTGCACTTGGGGATGGCAAAGGATCACAACGGGTGGCTGCTATGGGACTTGACCACCCAGAAGCTAACAGTGTCAAGGGATGTGAAGTTTCTTGAGTCCCTGTACTACAAGGAATGGAAGCAGCAGCAACAGAAGCTTCCATCTACATCGCTAATTGTGGAGGCAGATGAGTTGCAGCAGCCTTCAAGATAGGTGGAGGTTGCAGTGTCTGAGGAGGAGATGTCTGGGGTGACTGAGGAAGGGGGAGCAGCTGAAGTGGAGCAGCAGCAGCAACAACATGAGTCTCCACCTCGAGTTCCACACCCGCCTGAGCGACCTAGGAGGGATGTGCGCCCTCCAGTGAGGCTGACCTATGGGGGAAGAGGCAAGCCGAATGTGGTGCAGGCTGGGAGTGTGGTTGAGCAGATTGAGGAAGATGAGATCGCTCACTGCTACTGGGCACCAATCCCTGAGCCCAAGACTCGAGAAGAGGCCTTGAATGGACCAAGTGGGGAGAAGTGGAAGGCGAGTGAGAATGAGGAGTTCGGTTCCCTGATTGAGAACGAGACATGGGACCTGTGTGACTTGCCTCCTGAGAAGAAGGCAATCACTTCCAAGATGATCTACAGGCACAAGTATGGACCTGAAGGGGAGCTGACCTGCTACAAGTCTAGGCTTGTGGCAAGGGGGTTTCAGCAGACAAAGGGGAAGGACTATGATGAGGTGTTTGCTCCTGTAGGGAAAGGAACAACACTGAGGGTGCTGTTGGCGATAGCTGCACTCCTGGGATGGAAGATACGGCAGATGGACATTGTGACTGCCTTTTTGAATGGGATCATTCTGGAGGAGGTGTACATGAAGCAGCCAGAGGGGCTGGATGATGGGAGCGGCAGGGTCTGCAGGCTGAAGAAGGCATCTATGGCCTTAAGCAGGCGCCTCGTGCATGGTATCACAAGTTGGAGGAGGCACTACTGGCTGGGGGTTTTAAGAAGAGTGAGTGTGACCCTAGCGTGTTCCTGCTACAGGAGAAGGATGAAATCCTCATGCTCTTGGTGTATGTGGATGATATCATTCTCTTTTCTGCATCAACTGCTTTGCTGGATAGCGCAGAGCAGATGCTGGAGATGCAGTTCAAGTGCTCCAAGATGGGTGAGGGGAAGTACTACTTGGGGATGCATGTGGAGAGAGATGTGGAGAAGGGTGTGTTGAGGTTGCACCAGAGGAAGTACTGTGAGGGGCTGACTGAGAATTATGGGCTGCAAGATGGGGGAAAGCCAGCAACACCACTACCTTCGGGGTTTACTGTGGAGCCATGTGCTGATGAGAAGGTAGTGGGTGAGAGCGACAGGAAGCTGTTTCATTCGATGGTTGGTTCTCTGAACTATGCTGCAAATCATACACGGCCTGACATTGCATTTGCTACATCACGGTTGGCTAGTGTGGTCTCACGCCCTAGTCATGAACTGCTGGAAGAGGCCAAGAGGTTGGTCCGCTATGTGAGTGCTACGGCATCAGTGGGATTGGAGTACAGTGGAGTGAGGCAGTGGTTGCAGAGAGGTGCTGCAGATATGAAGAGTGGTGAGATGCTCTTGAGTTGCTATACTGACGCTAGCTTCAACTCAGTGAAAGCGGATGGCACCAGCATTGGGGGTTATGTGTGCTTGCTGGGAGGTGGTGCTGTGAGCTGGCGTAGCAAGAAGCAGAATGAGGTGGGATTGTCCTCATGTGAGACTGAGTACATGGCCTTACATCATAGGGCCAAGGAAGTGGTGTGGCTGAGGCGCTTGTTGGAGGAGTTGGGAGTTGGCCAGGAGGAGCCCACAGTTGTGTTCAGTGACATTGAGTCTGCAGTGAAGCTGGCCAAGAATGCTTGTCTGCATGGGCTGACAAAACACATTAGGCCTAAGTGGCATTGGGTGAGGAGACTCCTTGATAAGGAGGTGCGGCTGGAGATAGTGAAGATCCATCAGCAGGCAGCAGATATTTTCACTAAGCGTCAAGCGGAGGCGGATCATTGGAAGGGCATAAAGCTTGCCGGGATGAGTGTGCATTGAGTATGCATGCTTGAGATGTTGGTATGGTCGATGATGGTTGGCAGCCAGAGGGGGAGATTGTTGTGTGATGTCATCATATGCTATCACATTCTGTCTGCCTCCCATCTCATGTTTTCAACTGGCATGTGTGTATTGAATGTGTGCAAGCATTTATGCGTGGTGTGTTCTGGAGTTTGGGAATGTGTTTTGTGTTATTTTTGTTTGAGCAGGTATTTTTGATGATAGATCTTGAGAAGATCTTTCGGACGCAACAAGAATCGCTTCAATCGGAGCAAGAACGCGAAAGCTATGAAGATTCAAAATTCATGAGCTTGCGTTACAATTGCGGCGGTTACAAAGTGAAGTTGTGGGGTGACTCTATATGGAGTTGGGACCATTAGGGGTTGAGGAACTTCGTCACTCTACTGTAGCAGCTGCAAAATTGGTTGGGAACCACCAAGCTAGGTTGGCAAGGGTGGCCAACTTGGTTGGATTGGTTGGGAAGGGACAAATGTCAAAGTTGGGGTTCCTATAGGGAGGGAATCTTTGTGCTTATGAGGTTTCCTTGGTTGGGGACTCTCTTGGGACCTTCCCTCTCATCCCTCTCTTCCGTTCCAACCTTTCTCTTGCTCTTATGATTGCTTCTGAGATTCTTGAACCTTTAATTGAACTTTTGAGATTGAGTTAAGTTCTCCTCCTACAGCTTACCCCCCAGTGCGTCGAAAGACATAGCGTCGCGAATACTCCATAAATCAACGTGATTCAAATTGAGAACGATAGCTAAGATTACAAGCTACAACATATCAGATCTTCGCGACATTCCAACGGCTATTTTATCGTCGACGTCGTTTCTTGTGAAGACAACTTTTCTGTCCAGAATTTCGGATTTATATTTTGAGTAATTCTAGCTCCTAAGTTCACCTAGACTCCGTCCTTAATCCTAACAGATGGCGCACAGGGAGAACGTTCGAGGGCTGCCCATGACCGACCAGCCCAATAAGAACAATGCGGACTGCCAGCACGCCATCGTCAAGAACTGGCTGCGCGAGTCCATCATCAAGTGGCATGGGCAGAAAGGCAGGCCTGTGTGGGTCGAGGAGGAGCAAGCCTCCTAGTGCTGCCAGCCACTTAGTCATGTACATCATCTTTCCCCCCCCCGTGCAGGGGTGGCTGCAATGGTGGAGATTTCGGTCGGCCCGGTGGAATATGCCAAGTGTTCCAAGAAGCGCCGCACTGCCACGGGCGTGGCAGAGCACGATGACGCGGAAGAGGGGTGGGAGGCAGAGGATGTTGACGGGGATTCTGAGGATGATGAAGAGGAGGATGAGGAAGATGAAGGCGACGAAGGGGGGTTTTTAGCTTTACTCGGTTTATGCTTCTGTTTTCTATTCTATGGTGTGTACTACACCATGATTGCGTGGCAAACTTGTAGGTGATCGCTCCTGTTGTCAGGGTGATGCAATCATTTTTCTTTGGCAATCCGGCACCAGTTCCTTTTATTTTTACGTATTTTCAAATTGGCAATATTCGACGTTTCTGGATATAGGATTGGCACCGCTATTCCTTGTTGTAACGTTTTCGGTAACCCTACACTAGATAATAAGAGGGGTAACCATGTTACCCCACTAAATTGTAACTAGCCGAAGCGCTTTTGCATGCTATGTGTGGGGTTTGCAGTTGCCTGCCGTGGACATTGCACCTGGTTATAAGTTCGCCACGTGTGTTTGCTTCGGATGCACTTTGGTGTCAAGTGCTCTGCGATTGCGAAGGTGGGGGCATGATTTTAGTTAGGCTGGGCACTTAGCCAAAACTTTGCAGGTGCTACGTCGTCGCTATGTCTTTGGCGACTATGAATTTTGTTCACTGATCAACACGTTTGCACTATGCGTCTAGCGGCTATGTATCCGCATGGTAAATTTCTGGTTGTACGATGCGTATGCATAGGTGACCTGGGGCAGATTTTTGGGACGTGGTGCTGATCCCAGAAACAACCTCCCATTCAGCCTGGTAGAGTCAGAGTTGAGCCCCGAACACGACAACCCTTCCGTAGACCTAGCTCAGGTCTTCCTAGAGACCGAAGAGTCCCTTGCTATAACAGCTCTGGGGCTGTTAGTAGGACTAGAGGTTGAGGGATCCTTGAAGAAAGAGTGCTAGCATAATCACTAGATCATATGATAGCTTCAAACAAAAAGGAGAGCACTCTTATACTAGGAAAGCTTTCTTGGCACCTTGGTACTTCTAAAGGTGCCTAGATAAGGTCGCTCGTGGCGCCTTGGCATTTCTATCCTAGCTGGAGACAAGCAAGCAAGCTAATGATTATGTACAAGTAGCCTTGCCTTGTTGTCTCTCCTAGGAAATAGCTAAACAAGCATAGGAATTAACTATCCGAGTAGTTTTCATTTTCCAAGTAGTGCTGGTGTCTTCGTCATCTTGTAGATGTCGAATGTAGTCTTTGCTGGCGCCTGTAGTAGCTGCAGTAGTTAATCTCTAGGTTGTGCTGGCGCTTTCCACGCTTTGCTGGTTCTCGAAATCTGCTCAGGAGTAGTGCTGCGACTCACAGGCAGCTGTACAAATTTGGGGTTGGGGAATCCAACCTCGAAATCTCACAGTTCGCTGAGTTGGCGAACTTTCGGGGGAGTTCGCTTTCGCATTGTAATGCTTGCCCAGCAGCAAACCAACGACGCGGATCACCAAACCCAGCTGCCAGCCGCGACTCCCCCCCGACAAGTGCCCACCGTTGCCTCCAACTCCAGGCTCGACAACCCCCTCTAGTGAGGCAACTGCCTCCTGGTGCTCACTGCACCATACGACGACATTCCAAACAGCGACGTCGCCGAGGAAACGAATGACGGCGTGGATGCCAAGCCCGTCGAGGAACTCGGCGAGCCCAAAGAGCCCGCCTCGAGCGCTCCGACAACAACCGCCGGTCATTGCAATGACGCATGCACGACGTAACGGTGGACTCAGCTTCCCGCCATGTGCTAAGGCATAGACGAGGCCATCAAGCACGGGCGAGCAGTGACAGTCGTGGTACGCGGCCATGTGGCGCGAGTTGAGATACCGCCACGTCAGATAGCGCCACGACGCGGTAGCGAGCCATCAAAGATTTTTCGAATGATAGATGCTCCGTGAACGTGGCACGACTATGACTAAATCAGAGCAGGTCGTCCACGTGGCGTGCCCGTATGGCATGACAATTTCGATAAGTTTTTTAGATGCTGTCAGAATTTCTAGGCGGATTGCGTACGCAGAGAAATGCAGACAAAAGGGGTCATGACTGTACATAATGTATATGTTTGTAAAAAGGAATACGGGCGAGGGAGGAACTGCAATGGGCTGAGGGTAGGGAAAGGCGGGTGGAGCTAGCTAGTAGCGGCAGCTCGTGGGTTGGGTGCTAACTGGCGGATGATGGCGGAGGTCGGGAGAAGGCCGGGGATAGGCCGAGCCTGGGATGATGGCTGGGGTGGGTTACGTTGTTCGTCGCGCTTTCGTGTGCATGGGTGTGTGTGCAGGTGGCCCGCTGGACAATAAGTTGGATGGCAGGATGGATGTCAATCGCTGATTGGCTGTCAAGACAGGCTACCTTCCTTGCTCCAACAGGGGATGGGAGAGGCAGCCATGGAAGAGACACAGCTGTATGAGGGGGAATATAGTATTGTCTAGTGATGTTAGAGCCACTTTTTGTATGTTCTCGCAAGAAAGGTGCCCGTTGCAATTCACCACGGAAGCAGTAGAGGCTGGAGCATCTTGGAGATGTGATGATGTGTGGAAGTAGATTGGAGGTATCTGGAGCAGCCACACCGACCTGATGATAGCCGGGTGGGAGTGTCAAGGCTATTCGTGGGCAGGGAAAGGGCAACGTATGCAGGACCTCAGAAGCAACCTCTCCCATGAGATGGCGAGGGTGCTGCGCTTGATCAAGAAGAGACACGGAGAAGTGTTGTACATCACAGAAAACATCGACGTGTCCCAGGACCCTCGGGAGAAGGTGTGGAAGGCGCACAAAGAAGTGGTCGGCGTGCTGGGTGCAGGAGTGACCTGGGACGTAGCGCAAACAGGTGGCAGATTCCATCGAGTGCGAACCTACTGGCAGAACGGCCCGCCACAGGCCGCAGGGCGTTATCACCTCTCCATGATGGAGAGACCAAAGGCAAGGCTAGTGGAAGACATTTTGGAGGTGAGGAGGAAGCCGGTGCCAGTCCTGGTGAAGGACCACAAGACACGGCACAGCTGCAACCAGATTGGCCAGCCGCATGAAGCATGGCCTACGCTGGTCGCCTACGAGGGTGCTTATGGGTTCATAATGGAGTGGGGACAGCCAGGGCTAGGAATGGTATATGATGAAGGAAAGTGCAAGTCGGAGGAGCTGACAGCAATTGGGTTCATGGCCAACGCGACAGCCTACCCAGACGTGGAAAGGAAGAGGGATAAGGCGGCAGCCGTCCAGTCGCAGAACCAGGAAGCTGCCAACAACAAACAGCACATGGCCGAAGTCCTGCTAGGGGAACATGAACAGGAAGAGCAAGAGCAGATAGAGGCGGGAACGCCACTGTAGCAGAGAAGGCGGCACTGGAAAGATGAGACGGAAGCAGTGAAAGGCGCATATGAAGACAGTAACCTGTGGGCGGAAGAAGAAGGAGAATCAGACAAAGGGCAGGGGGCAGCTGACATGATGGTCGGCAAAGCAGAAGCAGCGTACATGGTGCTAGAGGCAGAGGAAGGAACGAGCAAGGGCAGGACCAAGGGACTGGGGGGGTATACAGGAAGAGAGGAACCGCAAGAAAAGGGGGCAGAGGCAAAAGTAGTGCAGGGCCAGGCCACGGAAGGATTTGACAAGCAGGTCGGGGAGATGACGGGGGAAGAGAAGGTAGCGCAATGGGACATTGGGGAGGCAATGACACCAGCTGGGCGGAAGGCCATGGAAGAGCTGCCGGGAAGGTATCGGACCAATTTCACCTAAAGCC